TATGACAGCACTTGAAAATGCTAACGCAGGAGACTTTAATGATGCAATTAAATTTGGACTTTTAAAATCCAAGTTGGGAGGAAAGTATATACCAGTTCCTAATAATGATCTATATACAGCTACTAATCCTGCTATTAATTCACCAGCTACTTTACGGACATGGATGAGAGCAAAATATTAGCGTAAAACAAACGTAGTCAGCAAGTGACCTTTCAAAGATTAACTCAAGAAAGATTTTTACCTAGCGATTCATTTGATACATATGAAAAAAGAATTAGACCTTTATTATTGGGTATTCCAGATAATAAAATACAAGTTTTAGGATTTCTTAAAAGTTAATTATCTGGTAATCTTTTTACATGGATGAGAATAGCTAATTCTGGTGGTATAGATACATTCTTTACACAATTAAAAGATTTGTGATTAGAACGTAATCCAAGCGTGAATACAGGTCAAATACCTATATTATCTTAACCAGAACTTCAACCAGTAATACCTACTCCTATTTCTCAAAAATATGATTTTAAAATTCGACTTGCAAGGGATTTGCAATATACAGGAATAGTAACAGATAACGTAACTTTATAATAATTTATCTATGATGATCTTCAAAAAAAATTGATAAGCAGAACAGCTCATATAAGAAAGAGTCATTTCGAGCTTAGAAGTATTAATGCTACAAAAAAAGTAGTTAGAAAGATAGCACAAAAAATACCAGTTAAACAAATTGTTCGTCTTTGCTCAGTCTGTAGAAAGACTAGTCATACAAAGATTAATTGTCTTGAAGTTAAGCAGATTAAAAGGTTAATTATGTATATCAAATGTTGAGAAAGATCCAGTCCTAAGAGGACCTCCTAATGACTCTAAAGAACCTGAAATAGAATACATATTTGAGGAGGAGGAGAATCCCGAAGAGCCTGAAATAGAATACATAGTTGAGAAGAAAGTATAAGAAGATGTTGAATATATTGATGATGATGAATCTACCTTAAATACCACTGACTGAAACTGCTATGCTGTAAAAAAAAAGTGGTGCGAAGTGGAGTGAGTACCTATAAAAAAGACTCACAAGAAGGAATCCCCTACTTCCAAGTCTCGTAAAAAAGCAAAACCTTCAGTATCTTTAACCATGATTGAAAATTATGTTTTTCTAATAACCTTAAAATCTATATTATCATCAGTTGTACGACATATTCCTAAAGAAATTCTTAAGGAAGGCTCTCAATATATTAATATAATATATCCTAAATTAAAAGATCAGATTCTGAATATGGCTATAAAAGATGATACTGTTAAGAAAAGGGAAAATTTATGGAAGCATATTACAAATAAAATTATAGATGTTTTACATTCGCTAATGTAAGCCACAAATATAGAGCAAAAACCTCTTATTCAAGTTCTAATAGAATCGAAGCTAGAGGATCCCAGAGGGACTGAGTTAGATGATTTCATAAATGATATAATATCATTGGGTTCTAATACTCTAAACTATACTATTAAAGCATATGCACAACGTCATTCAGCTGAAAAAAAAGTAACATGCAAAGCGCCTCCTGGCTAATTCCTATTTACTGGCTTAAACCATTAGAGAAAATTTTTTACAAATAAAAGATGCTAATGATATTGCGACCATCTCCTGTAAAGTGAAGGAGTAACTATACCCTATGCAATGATTGATAGTGAATCTGATTCACCTATAATCTCAGAAAATGTGACTAAGCATTTGAGTCTAAAAATAGATAAGAAAAAGATTCACAGACTTAATGAAGTCACAAGTAAGTCTCATTCCCTTGGTATAGTTGATAGTGTTCTTGTAACTATTAAGGATGGAAAAAATAGAGATACCATTTCAGATGAATTTTCTGTTGTTCCTACAGAATATGATGATAATGGAAAAGAACTATCCCTATTTATTCTTGAGACACAGTGGCAATATCGAGCTGATTGGAAACCTCTAATAAAGAGAGAATTTAAGGTAACTCGAAATGGAAAGACTATCACTATTCCTCTATCAATTCACAAATCTCAGCAGAATATCTTTACGTAGAAAAAAAGGAATCAGAACCCATAAAAAAAACTAGATGATCGGACATGTTAATACTGTGAAAAGGAATTCCAATATCCCTCTATTCTTAAAAGACACCTGAAGTTAAAAAATATATACAGTAAGCAAATTAGCCTGGCAAGTGATCGGGTTAGTCCAACAAGTGATAGGATTAATCAAACAAGTGATCAGATTAGTAAAAAAAATATGGTACCTATTCGGTTAACATTGGCTTAGACTATTTTTTTGCACATTTACCTTTCATTTTTTGATGACGTTTAAGTAAATAAGGATATTTAAAGCTTTGTTTACAATATTTACAATAATGATTAAATATATAGTCTGGTCCTTCATTTGCTGTATAGTATTCTTCTTCATCAGAACTTAATTCTTCACTAGATATAAGCTGGCTAAACTATTTATTCTCTTTCTTAAGATCAGAAACTTGCTGTCTTAATGAGATTATTTCAGCTTGCATTTTTGTAAATTTCTGCATATATGTGTTCTTATAATGCAAATCTACAACTTGATGACGCAATTTATGATTTTCTGATTCTATAATAAAAAAGGTTTTATATATTATAGTGATAGTTCAAATATTTTTTTTGAATGAATATCCTTCTTTGATCTGTAGGAGATAACCTATCCTTAGAATTGTAAAAAGAAAATGCCAAGAATTTGTGACGGAATATTCCCGCAAGAAAATATCCGATTTATCTAAAATTTATTTTACATATAGTACAAGATAAGGGCAGTCAAACAAGCCTAAATACGTATATATCCAATCAGTGGAAGTCGAAATATTATCCTCCAAAGTTCAGGTAAAAAAATATACTCTATATTATGTTTTAGCCAATCAAATCGCCTGAATATTACTGCGTAATCATGTGATACTGCGCGGATTTCCGTTGGATGTCATCTGACACTGAGCCCTAAGGAAGCAGTATTATGTGACCAAATTACACATATATTGCTTATGGATATCATTAGTCACCATTGATCCTTAATCTGAATCGGATTCAGATAAATCTGTTAGCTCTTTGCCAGGCTCTAAACCAGTTTGTTTTTCTACATAATTTCCTATCCAGTCTACAGTTCTTTCAAGCCTTTTGAACCGAGAATTAAGTTTATCCACTTTTATCATTAATGCTATAATTTCTCCAATAAAAATACTGGATTTTTTATTAATTGCTGGAAATGCTCTTGTATGATGATCGAGTTCTGATAACTTCATTAGCTCTTTTACCATGTCTTTCTCATACTCACTATATGTGCTATTAGATATTTGCACTTGTTTGCATTCCATTATAGAGAAGCATTCTGTAATCAAATATTTATTATACAAGAAAATAATATATAATAATAATACTCTTTCGGTTGAAACTATAGGAGATATAGAATACTCTTTCACTAGTAGCTTATTGGGATGAGCTAGATATGTGAGATACACATTCATTTTGATACTTCTCTGGAAGCTTAGCTCTTATAGCTCTTTTTTCAGCCACTTCATGAATGATATCATCTTTGATTATATTCTTATAAATCATATTACGTCAATGCTCATAAGGTAATTCAGATATCCCATCTGTTAGATACCAACGCTTAGTATTTAAGGGACCGAGAGCCTTTTTCTCAGACTCAACTAAGGATAGTACATGATCTTTGATCAGATGCCTACATTCTTAGTGTAGAATACTTCTTTACCAAAGAGACAATCTCGATATATTTGGATCATAAGATCGAATACTTTAGATTCGTCTACCGGATCATCAAATAATGAACCAACTAATTTTGGCATATATGTATCTGTAGCCATTTTATCCATACCCTTCTTACTAACCCTCTTATGTCTTAAATTTGTGGTCTTATCTGCAAAGACATAATGGTAAGACTTGGATCGGATTTGAAATGATTCTGTGATCACATTACCTGAGGTCTCATCTTTAAATTTACCAATAGTTTGATCACCATTGAGATTAAAAAGATCAGGTCGCTCAATTATATCTTTATAAATGTTCTCAGTTTCAATATAAAATATAAAAGAGTCTGTATCATATATCCAAGTCTGACCTTATCACCATATTTTTCCTTCAAATATCAATACCAAAATTCGTATATGTGAAGCTTGCTAAGACTTAAAACAGATGCTCCAACTATAATAGGCTTGTTGAGAGTCACGCTAGCTTTTCCCATATATGCTTCTACTAATGTAAGTCCTAGTGGTCTACCATATTTGAAAGATGGTATGCGGATCTTATTCAAGAAAGCTTTTTCATCTCGCTCATTAATATTCTTCATCCTGATATTTGCGAATATTTTCCATAATTTTGCCATATACTAATATATTCATAAGTTTGAAAAAGTCACTCAGAAATGTATTTCCAGCTTTTTTAGCTTCATTACGTTTCTCAGTATTAAAATATATATAGTTCAAGCCAGTTAGTCTGGTTGAAAGAGAGTATCTCTGAAACTTCATCTACAACCATACCTAATTCTACATAATATTGGAGCTCTTGGTAATAGATGACATAGTTCTTTCGTGATCCAAGATGGGAAACTAATTTTTTTGTGGCAGAGAAGCATCTATCATCTAATTGTTCTACAAGTTTAGCATTATAAGGACTTAACCAATACTTTTCTACAGCAATATTTTCTACTGCTAAAGGTAAGTCTTTTAAATAATCATGAGTCTTTAGAGGAAAATAAGCATTAATATTTAAGAAATATCCTCGTTTAGCATCAGATCGTGTATTGAAAATCTTTTCAAGATATTTCTTCAGCATTGCTGGATTTTTAGTAAATATTCCCGACTAGCTTTCCATTGATATTTTCTGATAGGCAAATATTAGCTCATAGAATGTCCATAAAAATTTGTTACGTCTACATATAATATCCAGGATATAGGTTTGGATAGGTCATAGGATTCTCCTATTTTGAGATTATTTGCCTTAAAATATTATTGACAAGCCATAGATATACCACCAAGCTTAGCTTTTTTGGTAAAATCATGCATGGTCATATCTGTGAAAAGTTCAATCCTAATTCCTGATATCTTAAGCATTCCATTCCAGGATAATGATGGGGCAGAAACATAATGACTGGTATTAACTTCATAATATTCCATAGACATTTTTTGAAACTCTGTCCAAACATCTGCTAGACTAAGTATGTCAGTTTTAAGATAAAGATCATGGTATTCACCATGATTTTTATATTCAAATTCCTTTCATACTTTCTGGATGTGTTTGTAGTCATCTTGTGAAATCTTACCTTTAAGAGTACTATAAAATTCATGAATAGGGGGAAGTTCTGTCTCCTGAAACCTATTATGAGAATCGATATAGTTATAAGGATAAACTCCTTTACAATATACTAATGCTAATTGCTCTTCTATCTAACTTAATTTTTTGAAATATTGGCTTGTTATTGGGTGGTTATCACCTAAATTTTTTGTAAGACTAGCCAAGCTACTATTAATGAACTGCATGCTATCTTTATATTTGAGTTAACTTACCTTCATAGACTTATATCGCTCAAATGTTTTGGCTATAACTTGGATATGAAGAGCATTAGCTGATCACCTGACTGACTCACAAAGCAAGTGAAAGTCATAGCCTCGAAAGTTGTGAAATATAACTGGAATTAGGGTCTTCTAATTCTGTATTTGGAGTTTGAGATTACAATCCCTATGGGCTGATCTACAAAACTTATCTGTAATATGACAATGGTTCCAGACCTTATTAGCTTTAGCTTTTTCACTAGCAATTACCTTAGTCGCTTTATAAATAGTTGTTTCAATGCTATTATATTCAGCTGAACCCTTTTTAAACTTTCTAGCTTCTCTTTAAGATTTGTTATTTTGTTCTCTAGACACTCAATTTCATCTATATCTATATTAAACTTACCTTTACAGATTTAACAGTTAATTGTCTTTGCGAAATTTTTCTTGTCTTCTTCAATCTCAATTCGCTAATGTTTGATGGCTAGAATCTCATTGATTTTGACCAGCTCTTGATCAATTCTTTGAACGAATTCTTGTGTGACATTTTCTTCCCTATATAGGAATAGACCTTAGACATCTCCAGTATCAATCTAGTGAACCAAATAGTGAAACTGTTGGCTTTCTGCTCAGTGAGTTTAATCATACTTCCACCATATATCTCATTACATTTCTTATTATCAGCCTCAAAGTCAGCTATAATAACACATGAAGTATTGATCTTTCGACCATAGTTTTGAAACTTCTCGTAATCATTGACTCCTTTCATTGGTGAACGTTATAGGGAATATGAATGATTTGCAAGAAGAATTATTGATAATATGAATAATACCCTAACTCAGTTAATTGGAATAAGTCCTAATGATGCCACAAAACTTGAGTGGATATATTCTAAGCCATCAGTAAAATATAATCATTTGATAGGTATTGATGAACTATAGCTACTAAAGGATATAATATCTGATTTTTGCTTATTCTTGGAGAGTGAGAAAATAATTCTTTTGAACAACATAGAATAACAGATCCAATATGGTCTTCTAGCCTACATAAAATTCAAAGAATTGTTGTTGGAAAGAATCCTCTGATGCCTGTTTTATATTATTTAGATGAATCAGAACCTTAGCATTCCTTTATAAGAGAATAATTAATGTATATTAAGAAAGAGCCTATGTTGTTTTCTAGGTAAGTATTAGGAGATAACTGAATGTGTACAAGACGCTTCTTATAAAAGTTTCTAAATCTACTACACAGTAAGGGATTGTAATAAAGATTACTACTTTCCGATAACATAATGCTTTCTTTTCTCATCTAGATTCATCTGTTCTTGCAGGTGAAAAAAAGGTACAATTTGATAATGTTAATTACTACTATATTCAAAAGCCAAGTCTAGCTTTTCATTATATTCATCTAGGTGTAAACCTCAAAAATTTAGGTTTTCTGTGCAAGAAATTTTATTTAATAAATCCTTAAATATATACCAGCATGTTCTTTTTGGTATATTGGGATAAATGTTACACCATCTATAATTCTGTTTCATATTTTTATATGACGCCTCCTATTGATGATTTTTCTTACATGCCCATAAATATTTATTAGGACTAACTTTAGCTAAGCATTTACCTTCCCACCTTCAGGCATATGCTAAGGCTTAAGTATTAATATCATTTTGTATTTTATAGTCGCAGAAGAATCAATCTAAATATATGCAAATTAAATTGCTAGTTTAGAAGTAGAATTAAACTTAGTTATTAGTACAGTCAACCCTTGATATAACGAATTTTATGTCCTGAACTTCAACTTCGCTATAGAGCTATAGTGAATTTTTTAAAGAATTTGATTGGCTAGTTCGTTATAACGAGGGTAAATTTAATATAGTTGTCCAAAAAATTCGTTATATAAAAATTCGCTATAGAGAGGTATGACTGTATTGCATAAGCAAAAAAAGATAAATATCTCTAGTACTTTGAGATCAGACTTCTGCCTCGCATCAATTCCTAGAACCAGGTAAAGAGGCAGGTTACTATCAATATACTCATGAGCATTAGAAATTCCATAAACTTCAGATAGGTGATCAATTAATATAAAGTTCGATCCTGCCACCCGAATGATATATTTGGAAACAATTTCTTCAGCATGATAGGCCTCTAAAAGGGCCACATCCTCTCTACTATTAGTTTTCAATAAATGTTGAAAATATGTATGATCATTATAGCCAGATTTATAATCAAGGTTCATTTCACCTAAGAAAAACCTTATTGCTTCATTTATTTCTACGGGATTGAGTTCAAATTTTTTTTGCGTAGAAGCAAAATAGATTTGATAGCCACTTAAGCAGAATTATATAAGGAAAGAAAAGAGAAATTATGCTTGAGTAGCCTACTGATAATAGGCAGGAAAAAGGTCAAAAAGGTGAAAAAACTCAGAAGAATACATGAAAAAAGGGTATGAAAGCTGTAAATTCCGAACCAATTCAGCATTTCATATCTCATTTTCAGTAATCAAACAGGTTATAAAAGGCGGGATTGCAAGAATGGTACAATTATATATGAAGTCGAAATAGATCATTTCGGATATCCGAAATGGTCAAAATGGTTAAAATCATTTCAACCATTGAAGGCTAAAGTCGCGAAATAGTCGAAATGGCGTCATATTACATGATTTTTCATATTGAGAAAAAATAATAAACAAAAAATGTACGATCTCAGTCAATATCACACCGATTCGTATTAATCAACTACCATTCGATTCCTTGCGACTTGACGGATCCAATGAGCTAACATTCATTGATTTTGGATCATCCAATCGCGA